TTGTATCGCAGCGATGCTTGTGGCACGCAAGTTCCCCTCGTTTCCTCCGTTCTTCCCTGTTCTTCTCCCTTGCTCTTTCTCTTTCACGTAATGCGACTTGAGAACACGTCATGATTTTCACTGGCGCGGCACATCCGTTACGGGCGCCATGTTTGCGAGAACCTCTTTAAAATACATTTCGCCGCTTGACAGTGGAAATGACGTTTACCATCGTGACTTATGGAACACGAATATCTCGCGAGCGTTAATGTTAATTAACGCGAAGCTATTGTCGCACGTCACGCAGTAAGGAAAGCGCGTTGGGAAAACGCTTGTTTAAAATATTATTTCTCGCTCGACTGTAAAGGATGGAAATCATTATAATCTCGGTAAATTTGTTTTTCAACGGATATGAAAAGATGTATTCTGCCTAAGTCACTGTATTTCTACTGTTATAAAAAATATTGTGTATACTTATTTACCTACATAAAAAGTGAGATTAAAGATTTATCTTTATATGATTTTTTATACTATTAAAACTTAAATTTCTTTGAAATTGAATATTGATTTTAAAATCAGCTTGAAAGAGTTTTTTTCGAAATTGTCATAGTGTTCTATATAATGGAAAAAAAATATTACAGTGTTCCGTATAATAAAAAACATTAAAAGAAATTTTTAAAAAACTTAAACCTGATGGCTTCATCTAACTTTATCTAATCTTGTATTATTTTTTTTCTTCTTCTTCTTCTTGATAATAATCTGAAATCTTATGTTATTTTTCTTCTTCTTCTTCTTCTTCTTCTTCTTCTTTTTGATAATAATCTGTTCAATAAAAGCGCGATTAATATAACTTTGTTTTATCACAGTCTAGCAGTTATAAACTGTATTTGTTATTTCACATCGCTATTTCCACTTTACAAATGCTTAGACTTTTTTATAGCCATTTCTTACAATATTTTCTCGTTTTAAATGCGTATAAAGGAAAACAACCTCGAATCTTTTGTGTGAGTAACAATCGTCGTTAAATATGTTATTCTCTAGTAAAATTGGACAATAACTATATAAGATTTCCTGCGTTATAGGGGAAGAACTCTTCCATCTGCTTGTTCAAAAATGTTTAATGTGGCCATTCCCAAATAAAAGTTTGCTCGGTCATGCTCTTATATTAGACAGACTATGTTATAAAATTTACAGAAAAGATGCCTCAAAGATGTCGAAATTATTGACAATGGCAATAATTTTTTGAACGACTTATTAATACAAAAACGTTACAGTATTAATTGTGTATATTTTGTTTACAATAAATAATTTAAAATTATGTCAATCACGCTCTTACCGAATAAATTGTATGTAGAAAAACTATTTGTTTTAGAAAATATTTGTTAAATATAAACAAAAAAGACGATTAGTTTCAGAGAGCTTCGAAAATTTTTAGATCTGCACTTGGTGACTTTTGTTTGATACAACTTTTTAAAAAACGTTAATGATAGTATTCAAAAACATCGTTTCACGTTACTCGAAAAATCTCTTCGGGAATTCACTTGCTTGTTTCATGGACTTAGAATTACATACAGAATAAAAAGTCGTTGTAACACGTTTTATAACCATAGACAAGTCTACATAAAACCCGGTGACTACGTGTCGTGTCGGCAAAAGATGTGGAAAGATAAAGGAAAACTGTCCTAGTCCCCAAAAGGAAAGAAGGTGCTCGAGTTACTTTAGCGGCTAGACGAAGTTCCCGGTAAAACATCTTGAGAGTATTTTGAGAACTTTGCTGAAATATTCTACGAGAGAGAGAGAGAGAGAGAGAGAGAGAGAGAGAGAGAGAGAGAGAGAGGAAAGTCCGCCGGGTGAATTCAGACCACTGCATTACGCGAAACAGATGCATTTTGACGCTAAAGTTTCGTTTGATTCGCACTTTACAAACGCGCGATTTAACGCACATATTTTGTTTGATAAGTAATGCGCGTTCCGTCATGAGCAACGAGTATTCCACACTTTTTATTCGCGAAGAAAATTTATATTCATGAGTTTATTTCAATGTGTAACGTTGCTGCGTAATTATATTGATGAGACTAGGTAATATTGCAACTCTTCTTATCGGATGGATAATTGGATGGCTTTATGGTGTAATGAATAATGTGCAGAATTTGTAACGTCGCATTATTGTTATAAGTAAAGAAAAAAATATCGATTATCTTTCACGTTGAAATGAATCATTAAGTTACAAAGCCGGATAGAAAAGCAACGTTATAAAGAACGAGTCGCTAACTGAATAACCTGGAAGTTTTTTACATTTCAAGAATTTTCTATTTTTGTTGTCAATAAAAAACATAATAGTTATTACGTAATGTTTCGAAGAACATGTATTAATCATTTGTGATACGTGTTATTAACAGACAATTGAATATACGATTTAACTATTATATTATTTCGCTCATTGATTCATTTTGCACTGACGTACCTCCCGTCTCTTTTATCACGATACTGGTACTACGATCGACGCGAGAAACATATAATCGCGAATTGTGATTTCAATCCGGGAATGGAGATCACTTTGCGCAAAGCCGATCGCGGGCGTCGCCATTTCGCATCAAAGTGAAAACGTTGGGGGTAAAGAGTGGCGCATGAACACGCTCGTAAGGACGAGGCGGACATAGATAAGCCCTGAGCCTCGGGCTACGTGCCTCGCAGACGAACGGCGGGCGGACAGGCGGTTGGGAAAAAAGAGGGATGGATGTTTCGCGATGGTTCTCGAGTTACTGCGCAAAGGGAAGGACAGGGAGCTTGGGGGTGGGAAAAGTTCCGCCTAACGTCTTGGAAGTGTCTCAAAAAGAGAACTCCGACGTCGGTCGGGACCCGGGCTCTAAGTGTATCACATAGTAAATTTAGTTTTCCAACCTCCGTTTCCATCGTTCCACTCTTATATTCTCCCGTTCCTCCCTTCTTCGCTCCCTTTTCCCGTTTTCCTCCACCCCTTTCTTACATTTCGTGGACAAGTCTTGAGAGTCGAGCTCGAATCGAGCTGTGGTGCCGATGCAGTCAGGACGGGGTTTCCTTGCTCCAAGCCTTTTCTAGGGAGGGAATCAGGGATGTTTGCGCGCGCGCGCACACGCATGTCGTGGTAGCCAACATGGCGCGGTATAGACTCTGGACCCGTTCGAGCGAATCTGGCCGATCAAACGGGGGCTAAGAGCCGCGCTTTCGTCCGGGTTAACTCAATCCACGAGCTTTCTATCTTCCCGACCTCCTCCTCTCTCTCCATCACTTCCCTTCCGGCGCTATGTTATTCCTGGCTGCATTCCCTCCTCTAGTTCCATCTCCTGCCAGGGTGCTTCTCCCGCGCCATGCACGACCGTTCCAATCGATGAGCTCGCGACAACGGGCCTTTAGATACTTTTAGAAGTCTGTGCGGGCTTTTATTCCCCCAGGAGGTTAAGTCTCGATGGTTTTCTGATCGGGACTTCTCGGGAGGTTGCTCGATTTACTCGCGACAAGACACGTCCCCCCGCGGGGGGACTGCGGGATAATTCGAGGAGGGTTGGGTAATTTATCTGACGAAGCGCAAAGGGTTTTTCTACGTTAAAAAAGTTGTTCTAAAAATTTACATCACAATTGGAAGTTATGATTTTTATACAAATCAATCACAATTAATATTTGCAAAAATTGCACGGGAAGAATGATTTTGCTAAAAAATTTAGACACAGATCTAATTTTGTTCGTGACAATAATTTTGTAAGAGACTCAAACAATGATGCAAAACATTTTGACATTCTAGCAATCAACTTGAGCGTTCTACATAAGTACTTTGAGTTCAATAGTTCAATAAAATAATACTTTTATCACAACTAAATTTTCAGATACCTCAGCAAAACCGTTCTTTCCGTGTGCGTCTCTTTTTCTGTCCTCTTTTTCTTATGAAACGGTATAATGAGAAAAGCAGAGCATAATACTTGGTCTATTATCAAAATTTTATAACTTTAATTCGAGCAATAAATAACGTATATATTTCCAATTAAGTATAAAAATCTTTAAGGTGAGCACAAATTTCTTATCTCGCTTTCTTCATTATTATTATTCGTCATCATCATATTCACTTTTCCATAATAATTGTTCTCAATTCCCTAGTCTGTTAAAATGGCAAATCACCTGTTTCTTATCAGGCTGTTCTTCTGTGACAGAAAGACAAGAAAAATGTAATGAGTTTCGAGGGGGGATGAAATAAACACGAGAATGTGTGTCGCGTGTGAGTGTGACTCGTATCGGGTGTAATCGGTTTCCTCGGGGAATCCTACCCTCTCTTTTCTCTGTCTCTCTCCGGATACGGCGATGTATCGGGGGGATAATTTGCGGCGTCTCGAGTCTCGACGCGGCTGCGTGGTCCAATCCACGATATCAGCCAATCGGCTCTCGGCTGCGCGGAGAGTCGAACTGAGAACAAAAGGATCCCATTCCCTTTCTCTCTCTCTCTCTCTCTCTCTCTCTCTCTCTCTCTTTCTATTTCTCTCTCTCGCTTTCTGTTTCATCGATAGAGAGGCGGCTGCAATCGCCATGCAAGCAACGACAAAAACGACTACCGCATATAATCCACGCGCGCGGCATCGATTCCACCCTCCACGAAAACAAAAGCTTGGCACTCCGGCGCTTCGCAATTCCTGATAGATTGGCGATTCTTTGCGGGAATCTTTTTGGCAAAATAGTTATATGTTATACGAATATCGTGAAATATATATATGGCCTTTCAAAAAGTATAAATTTCAGATAAACCACATTTCGATTAAAATAAAGTTCCTTGATACTAAACAACAAATAAATTTTATATAATTTGTGTTACATAATTTCCAATAATAATAACAATAATAATTAAATTACAAGTTATTCGTTAAACATTCTAGTAACTTTTATGGGCACAATCCTGAATTGTTGCTCTCCTCTTTAGAGATAACTTTGTAGCCTAAGTTGCGCGACTGGACGGAAGGAAAGCAAAGAGACGTTCAATATCAATAGTTTTGCAATTTCAGGTGGCAAAGAGGATGATCCTAAAAGCTCGTCCTCGAGTTCCTTGGGTTCTGCGCAAAGTAAGAAGCAGCGTAAAGCGCGTACAGCTTTCACGGATCACCAGCTTCAGACCCTCGAGAAGAGTTTCGAGCGGCAAAAATACCTTAGCGTGCAGGACAGGATGGAACTGGCGGCAAAACTGCAGCTGACGGACACGCAAGTGAAAACGTGGTACCAAAACAGAAGGTAAGCGAAACGAAAGACGCGTTACTAATTTCTAAATGAGACACAACACGACATATGCGGATGATAATTAATTTTGTGGTCGCCATCAGGATGCAAACAATCGCTAGTTTTTTTACATATAAAAACTTATTCGGAACTGACCCATGAAAATGAATTAAATCTATCAATGATACTGGTTAGCATTTTAAATATTACATATAATAATATTACTAATAGAAGTAAGTTCTGGAAATTCTTATCGTATATATATATATAAAATCATGTTGAATTATATACATATTTGTTATTATAAAAACGAGCTTCTTTTTCTCAAGCAATCAAAAAGTTAAAAATAATATTCTTAAACATCATATACCGTTCGAGATATATTCTTTTTCGATCAAGTTTCTTATTAAGATGCTAAGAAAATTTTTATTGAAAGGTAATTACTAGAAGTATTAGCCTTTTTAGTGAGCGCGATTGGACTACATGATGAGGCTGTACGTATAAAAAACCGTTGAATAGCCGTTAAAAGTTTGACTCTAAAGAGACAAAGATGGAACCATGACGATCGATAGACCTTTCGATGCTCGCGTTATACATTGTTGAATATCGGATAGAAAGGTCCTCATCACGATCCTCCTCTCGGAAGCGTAGCGGCGTGGTTCTTTGTACCGGCGCGTGTCGAATCCGTAAATGGAAATCGCGGCGGCCAACAAAGGCGTTGTTTACGTGGTTAAACGCGAGGATCGTTGGTCAAAACCTGAGCAAGTATCTCGAGAGTCATGCGTCTCCGTTACCGGTTTTGCGGCCCATCCTAAGCATATCGTACTCGTCAACACTTTAATTTGTATACTCACAACGTTTACTTTAAAATTAAATTCAAGATCTGTACAGATTTGTTACACTTAAATATTGAACACAGAAACATATACAATATTAAACTGAAATATAGTATTGTGGATTAACTTCTGATTGCCAAGTGGCTATGCGTCGATATGTATGTATATCCATTGATATATGTATATATATCGATAGATTTTTCACTTATAATATATTTTCAAATAATAAATAATTCTTTAATGTCGTCTTTACAAGACTAATAAGTAATCTAAAGATAATTTTGATTGTTTACGACATACAGATTTCTTTTTTGAAAATTTGTACAATAAAAATTCTAGAATTTAAACAAATATCTGAAAAAAAATTATAAAATTTAGATATATCGAATTAAACGTGTAAATTATTTCCGTCTCAGTCTATTTGAGAAACTTTCGAAATAAAAAATGCAAAAAACATAAGTTAAACATAAGTTAAATATGAAACATTAATATAAAACAAACTCATTTAAAGAAACTCATTTAGAGAAAAGGTTTGTTTTAAAAATATTGAATTGTTTTAACAGTAATTTTAGATCCATCGTCGGTTTCTTTACGAAAATAAGACCAGGCGGTCGGAATCGATTTCAAAATCCTTTGCGGCATCCTTTATGAACACGGTTTTGCAAAGTCATTCAGTGGCGCCTATAGATTCGTAGTTTTTGACTCCTGGGCCATCCACCTCTTTCCAATCTAATCAGCAGGCTTGTTGGTCGGCTTGCAAGTCCCTCACTAAAAAGCGAACGAAATTAAAATCGCATGCCATGGATGATTCCGCGGAATCACTTTGACACGCTTCGTCCCGAGTAAACGACTGTAACATCGGCAGGGAAAGTTTCTATACAATTCTCGTTTCTTGATAAACTGCAGGCGGCAAATAATAAATCATAACTAGTTTTAATATTATTTGTTATATACTACGTAAATATTTTATGCAATTGCATAAAATTTTTTCCTATTTCACTCGTGATAATAATTTAGGAATTTATTAAATTCTTTTCTATCTTTTCTATTTTTTTTTTTATAATAATAAAGACAACGCAACCTATTTTGTGAAAGTAGTCTGAAAAATTAATTTTAACTTTCTGTTTATTTAACTTTTTAAAAATTGAATTCTTTTCCTCCTTATATTTTTACGTTCTCGCAAGTACCAATAAAGATTCCCAATAAAAATTGCGAATAAATTAAAATCCTAGTCAGTTGATTAAAATACCGTACAATTTTACACGTATACGTGCCCGATATGCAAAATCCACCGCACCAGCTATATTGATCTCATTACGCACTTAATTATCATTACTCTCTTGTTCCTCCGGTCGCGATGAACGTACGGTGATTAGCAGAGAACACCCCACAAGTCATGACTGCGCGACTTCTGCTGGCGGCCGTTTAGTTTAGACAAGCGGCCGATCACGCACAAAGAAGGCGAATCGTTAATGAGGATCCTCGTAGATCGTGATGTATGATGTACGAAAAGGTAGAGGCTGGACGAAGCGAGCGCCAGACTCTAGACTGTGTCATTAGACTGTCAATTACCGGTGGAGCGAATGGCGTAATGACAGGCAGCGAGCGCTGCCAAGCGTTGCGGCCGTGCCGCTTCGATCGTGAAAGGCCGCCTTGCATTTCGGCGGCCGTTCAATTTTTTTCTTGTGCGTAATTGCGTGCCGCCAGCGCAAGTCCACGCAAGATTTTCAAAGACTCGTTGCTCGTTTCCCATATCACGTCGGGGCGACGCGGTGCGGCGACTCCGCGCACATCGCAATTGTACACGGCGTAATCGTTACGGCTATTTATTTCTACAGTCGGCAGTTTGCTCGCTCATTACGCCGGATCGGCGTAATGGACAACGGTGATTAAGGATCGCTTTTGATACAAAACTTGCGTAGCGCGCGCGAATTACTGTTATATCGCGATATATCTCGTTTGCGTTTCGCACGCCGTCATGCCGATCAGAGAAATAAACTCGGATTTTGTCTGTTAGTTCATGCGTGTCGAATTGAAAACGTGAACGTTTCCGGCACGAGCGAGCTGCTGATGATCGATCGAATTTTGAATACTTGTACAAAATATAGTCCAGGCAAGAAAACAAAACAGAAGCGCTTTCCGCGTGATTTTCTCACTTTAGAATGAATTGCAGCTTGGAAAGAGTTTCAGCGGATAGATTTTTGATCGACGTACTTAGAAGGATTAACGATACTCTCGTGATGTAATAAGTATACCTGTGTCAACGGAATCAAACCTGGTATGTTCGTGGAACCTGTATTAATCGCTACACGTTTCATCAAATACCATCAAAGTGCGAAGTACCGTATATCGCGCGCGGCATAAATTACAGATCAGCATGACGTGCGCTTTAATAATCTTTGTGTACATGTCTCGCGCAATACTTGGAACCGTAAAGTTCCTCCCTCTCCCCCCTTTCCACAATCTCCTCGTTCACCGACGTAGTTGCGGAGTAGCGCTAATTAATTTTCGCCATGTTGACATTCAGCCGCGCTTAATTAGGATGAAAATAAGAAAACCGATCAAAGTTGCACCAAAGAGGGAGGGGATGGAAGGGGGGAGGAGGAGGGGGAGGGGCACGTGTACGCGCCGCGGCACGTATCGTCGCGCGAGGACGCGCGCGGAAAGCGGCGTAGAGGCCTGGCCGCCGCGGCAAAAAGCCGGGAAAATTAGTGACGCTCCTGACTGACGGGCGGCTTCTTAAGTGCCCGCTTAAAGTTTTGTTGCTCGGTGCACGCCCCGATGAGGTGTGACTCGGCGCTTCTTCGCGGAGGCGCCGGCCACACCTCGGGCGCCACGGCGACGCGGACTTCTGCTCCCTTTTTCTTCCGTCCCCGAGGAGGTTCCTTGAATGCTCGCCGAAAACCAGATCCTCGATGCAAAGGTTTCAGAAAAGTTACGCAAATACGCCCTAATACTTAAAACCGCGTAATTTCAATCAATCCCGCGTGCGAGAATACTTTGACAACGCTGCTTCGCAGCATACCGTTCAGTTCGAGAGATTTTAAATCGAGAGATCTCATCGATGGACCTTGTGGATGTGAAAGAAACATCGATCTTTCTGTTCAGCGGAGGGCTTTGAATTATATGTGTATTGTTAATCAAATGTAAAATAAAGAAAGTTATCGTTCGTAAAGTTTAAATAAATATAATACTTACAATACATGATAGACAGAAGAATACTCAAAAGAAAAAAAAACACTGTTAGATGCAAAAGCAAGTAATCTAATTCTTTGAGTTAAAACAATAATAATATTAATTTTCTAGTTCGAAATTGCAATGCAAAATAATAAAATTGATAGAAAAATCAAATATCGAGCAATTGATTGATTTTACTCGTTGCTTGATCTTTCTATTAACTCCACATTTTTATTAATTTTCTTAAAAAAAATAACATTGCGTTATTTTTAACTTCTATATGTCAAAATGTAAATTCATTTCTGTGATTAATTTTAAGATAAACAATATCCGTATCAATGTGCACTTAATAAATAATAAACTGAATAAAAAGTACGTTTTTTGAGTTAAATTATTTAGCTTCATTGTTTTAATTAAATTAACAATACATTAACTAGAAACAGTGACAATCCAGAGAAATAATTAAAAATAACTTAAATCGGATGTAATTTGACATAATAAATTTAACAGTGAAACAAAAAAAAGAAAAAATTACAGATTTTTAATTTACAGCTTTGTGGAAACTTACTTAAAATTTGTTATTTATTTACTTGAGAATTTTTTTTCTAATAAATTTGTCATCATATATCACGAATACAAAAAATTGCATCAGAGATGATAATTTCTTGAAAAATGTCAGCTTGTTTTGAATCAGAAATTGACTTTGCACGGATCTTTGAACATCTTTGTTGGATTTTGGAAAAATAAATTACGGAAGATAAATAAATGCGGTTTATCAACGACGACGGATAATGCGCAGTCGTCATAATTAACAATTATAGTAATCTCCTCAGAAATACATGGATTTATCTAACAACCGTTCTTCCCTGTATTTTTTTCCTATTACATTCCTTACAAACGTCTTATTTAATCGCCATCAATTGTACGTTAATTATGCTCAACGATGTATTATCCGAACAACTGCTCGACTCACGCGCGATGTCTTCCTTTTTCCTCATAAAT